TATTAGTAAGGAAATTAAAAAAAATGGTAACAGGTGCTACTAATTGGCACAAATCATGCATTGATTGTGAAACATTAGAGTATATAATACAAGGAATTTCTTAATTCAAGCCTTAGTTAATCATGCAAAAGATAAATTGTTTTAAAGATAGGCAAAACAACAAGCTATCCATACAGCTATAGCAACAAAAGCAAGGTTTAAGTGCCAATCAAAAGCAGGTCTATTTGGTAAGTGATTAGAGAAGAGCTAACTTGTTAACAGCAATTAATAAGGTCTCAAACAAGAACACAACCCAAAATGATAAGCAACGCTCATCGGGAACGATGTGTTCTGATCTGAGCCCGTAGATTAGTAGACTTAGTATTTACGGGTGGGAAACTGACTGCACTACCCACCTAAGCACCCCTGCCCTGTTCAACGACTGTGCTGGGTGAAGTATGATGTGCATTGGTGTGTTCTTCAGCGCTGCAGCAAGGTGATCAAAGTCACTCCAATCATCCTGAGATAAATAGAAGAAAGTGTCATGACAAGAATAGATATATATATATAGGTGATTTTATTCAATAAGCCACCTGTTTGATTAAATAGGCACCTTAATTTTCCTCTCAAAGATCTCTATTGTAGGCAACTGGAGGAGTTGCTCACATACTGGACTAAATGCAGTCAGACGAAATGTTCTAGTGTTGTCTACAGCATCAAAGGTAAAATTGACCTGAAATGGTCTGGGGTCAGTGCTTTTAAATTGAGAGTAGTAGTTGGCTGCATAATATAAGCATGCTGAAAAGTAAATTGCACCTTTCAGTGGAAGTGCATTTTTTGTTAGGGCAATGTGGACAAAAAAATGGCACATTTGCAGCGACTCCACAACATTTACCACAACCATCACAGCCAATATAAGCAATGACATTACTCAGCTGTGCATCAGGAATTGTGACTGTGATTGTGTACACCTCTTCTTGGACAGTGTTGTCAACCTAGATGATTTAGTGTGAGTCAGCAAATTAAGTGTTGGTGGCAATGGGATAGGGAGTAGCTGACAAAGGGGCTCACAGTTTTATTGATGATGTGATCAAGTGTTATAGGAACTGGTTCAGTACCAACAGTCAAGAATTCAAGCTGCCTGGCCATATAGTCAGTAATGACATGTGGATGTGCATGGGCCCTATTGACAGTAAAAAGGGAAGGAAGAAGTGAATTAAACTCAGGAAGTTAAATATAACTCTATAATGCAATGTAATTTGAGGGATGATCATGAGCACTTAGGATGTTTACTTACCAAGCTCTTAAAGCTTCAACTTTCTCACCAATAGGGGCCGGGTTAATTTATGTAGACATACTTGACTACAGAGAAAAGCCTGTGAAGATTGCATTAGTGACTTGATTGTGCAGAACATAAAAAGTAATAGATGGTCTAAATGTGTATAACCTCTGTGAGTTGCAGGCTTCAGAGAAGTTAATCTTACAACCAAGGGACTGGATGCCCAATCTTTAAGGATTTCATAGTCTGAAGTTGCAAGCTGACCCCATGCAGAGATGATCATGGGTCTAGTACCAGTGTTGTAAGGGCAAGGAATTATAAATTAGTATTTTGGTTCAGTTATATTGTTAGAGGTGTTGTTGATGTGTAGCAGAGTTGTCACCTTTCATCAACAATGTTGATATCGCGCACATCAGCAACTCTGCCTGACTGGTATGTCACTTGGCGCACATCTTCCATGTGGACCACCACACCTAGCAAATCTAGCAAACAACAGCAATTGAGTTCATTATGGTTAAGAGATGATGTGGTTTGAGGCAGGAAACTTAAAGGAAGCTTTCATGCAACGAAGACAATACAAGCAGCTTACCAAAGCGATCATCTTGACCACTGGTCTTAGGAACATCAGCAATAGGAATGTATTCTGGCAATACAGGTCCTTCAGTTAGATCAACATGCTGGATTTTAGTCATGCCTCCAAAGGTTAGCTCACATTCGCCTGGGAAGGAACTGAACTTGGGATTTACGATTTTGACCGGAGCATTAGCAATTTCATACTTTTTTTTGTGTTCAAAGACTTTCTTGAAGTGGTCACATTCATCTCCGAACAAAGTAGCTTTCATGTTGTTACCCTGCATTGTGAAATATTAATTTTATGTGCAGTAGCATTTTACTATAGATTTGAAAAGAAGAAGGATAAATGTTAACATATACCTCATCGTCTTCGAAGACCAGTTTCTAGAACTTTTTTTTGTTAGGAGGAGATCGGATAAGGGACTTTTATTTCACGGTAACTCGAACTTTGTATGCTTTTGTTATAAGTGAAAGCTTGTCCAAAGGGGTGTATTTAGGTTTCATCTGTGGGCACGAGTGTAAAAAAAAATGTTACATGAGTCTAAGTTGTATTATTTTGAAGGGTCACACTTTATTTGTTGTGGTTAACAATCTAATGTGTTATAACTGGATTTTTAAAATGTACAAATAACATAGGATGATATCTGTTTTATTTCATAAAATTTTGCCACTTGTATTCAATGGTAAGGCACATGGGAGAATCTAGTATGAATTATAATTTTAGCAGGGCACAGCTTTAACTTGCAGACAATAGAGTGACACCTAACCATATATAAAAGGAAGGTAAGTGTTCACAATTTCACAAGCTTTCCCTTTCATTTTTTCTTCTAGTGTTGTAGCTTAGTGTCTTCAGAACAAAGTAGGTAAAAATAGCCAGCAAAGGAAAGGGTAAGATGGAAAGCAGCAAACAAGCTAACCTCCCCAACCAGCCAAGGTCCAGATCTCTAGAGGAAAGGGTTGTTGTTTTGGAGCAGAAGGTGGAGAACCTAGAAGCAGTTGTGCAAGCACTTTGCTTTGAGCCAGAAGATAAGCAACCAAGCCCAAAGAAAGAAACTCCAAAAGAGGGAACCAGCAAACCTAACTTTACTTATGGCTGTGATGATATCCACCACCATTCAAGCCCTTCATATTCACCTGAGAGTGATGCTTCCTATGGTGGTTGTTTCTAAGGGAACTCTTAATTTATATCCACACTTGTTGTAGGTTTTTAGGCTTATTAATGCTGGTTCTTAAGTAAAAAGACCTTATTATTGTTGTTTTCATGTAATACCAGCTTCAAGCTGGATTTTCAAAGTAGTAGTAGTTAGTTGTTGCTGTGCTATCAGTTGCACTTTGTCTTTAGATTTCCTAAGTAGTAGTTATTATTGCTATAAGTTGTATTTTCTAAGTACTAATGGTTATCTATTGGTGTTGTGTGGATTTATTTATTATGTCTGTCTTTAGTAAGCATTAGCTCCATTTTTTCTACTATACATGCAAAACTAAGCTGATGTATGCACCTTTATCTTCACTATATGCACAACTAAGCTATTCTTTATAAGGTTGAATTTAAAGGTTAGTTTCCATGCAAACTTGAAGATAAAGAGAATTCTAACCATTCTAAGGTAGTGTGCTATGGTCCAGATTAATGAAGAATTAATATTGCTAGCTAATACTAAGCACTAATTAAGCAGATTATGTAAACTCTATGAATTGTTAGCATCTTATCAACCAAGGTTAGTATAAAAGGAAGCTGTAACTTTAGTAAGGCAAAGCTTTATAGCTAAGTGTACCAAAAAGAGCATCTTTTATAAGCCTAGCATTTACATAATGACTGCCAAAGTGCTATACAGAGCAAGTGTAAAGGGTAGTGATTAGCATTTCAATCGAATGTATAGTGAAAGTTGTTTAAAGTGGACATACAAATCTAGAAAGCTATGCAATGCACACTGTTCAAATTAAGTATTTGATGAATTTCTAAATAATATCAGGTTGCTAAACAAATCTTACTTATCTGTCATAGAATTATACAAATGAAATTTAGTTAACATGGTATGTTAATTGTCTTAGCAAGTAAGAAAGAGGGAGTGCTTGTGTCCTATCTTTGTAAACTGAATGAAGAGAACAACATGGCATTGTTAATTTGAAAGTAAAAAGAAAATTTAAAATGAAAAACTGAATCTAAATTGAAGAGGAAAAGCATTTATGAATGTACCTTGTTAGGGTGGGTTTGCAAGCAGTTATTACTAGATCACAACAATAGAGAACTAAAGTGACAGAGAGAAAAGTGAGGAGTAAATGTTCTCTGTGAAATGTTATGATTTTAAATAGCAGTAGAGGCTTCTAGACTTAACATGAGTCCCATGTAATGTCCAGTGTATCTTGCTATGGTTTGAAACTTTTTATTATCCAGCAGATAAAAGAAGTGCATCAAGCAAGACAATGGCTAAAAACCTGTTGTGCAGTGAGTCTGTTTTTTTCTGTAAAATAAAATAGAGCATAGTATCGACCAACAGCTAATAAGATGTGTGTAGGAAAAGTAAATTAGGAAATTTGTTCTGCAGGTAATAGAATGAATGATGTTTTGCTGCAATACAGCTGCAAAAGTAAAGATGTAATCCAAAAGCAAAGATAAGATTTGTCTTTATAGCAAATTAGAATCAATTTTTGGGTAATAAGGTTGGAAAACCTAGGATTTTTCCATTTTTGTGTTACCAATTTCTATATACCTAAGATGGCATAAAAAATAGAAAATTGGAAAAAATAATTCACATGCAATAGTTGCAAAAGCAATCTTATACATCATATAAACATAGTAAATGGCTGTAAATAAAAATATTTCTCACAACATTTAACTGTGTTTTAACACAAAAGGACTTACAAGGATTTAGAAAGATTAACCTTAGGTTCAATTACATATAGATATATAAAAGGGAATGCACCTGCATTTGTAACATGGTTAATATTATATTAGTTATGGTAAGTAGAATAATTGACTGAAAATAGGCTGACAGATTTAGTAATTAGGAAGTTATACCTTTAAATTGTTGTATCATGTTATGCCAGATAATCGCAAGACATCATACGCTACAACGTTTTTCAGTAATGGTGAAATGTGTTGTTCATCTGGTTGTGGTGTGATTACAGTCACCTTGGCTGACTTCTTTACCCTTGACAATGCAACATGTAGTTATCCATGGGAAAAACATGGCTGTGGGAGGTAAACTATCACTTGGCTTAATGTCTGGCCTTGAGATTTGTTTATAGTCATTGCAAAGCTGAGTTTCAGAGGGAATTGTATCCGCTCAAACTGAATAGGATATTTTGTTGATGATGGAGGTCGGAGATTAACACGATGAATGAATACAAGTTCTCCTTGACGATGACCAGTGGCTATAGAACAAACAATGACATTCCTTCTGACAGACTTGCATATAAGACGCGTTCCATTGCACAGTCCATCTGCTGGATCAATGTTTCTGAGAAATATTACAGGACTGTTTATTTTAAGAACAAGTTCATGCGGAGTCATACCACCATGGGCTAGCTGGTTCAGGAACTCTGTAGGGTAAATTGCACAGTTATCATCTAGCATGCTCTCAAAGCTCTTGTAAATGACAGAGTTTCCTGGAAATTTGTTAATAAGAACTGTGTTGATGGAAACAACTGCATCATTTAATGGTGTAAGAATGGCTCTCTCTGTGAAGATATCTGGTGAAAATGCTGCATGTTCTAATTTTGGAAATGTAGTAGTAGCTAAGTGATTGATAGGATCATCACTCTCATGATAATAACTCACAATGTGAGGAGGAACCTAAACATAAGCATTTCCATTAGATTGCAGCAGGTCATTGCCCAAACTCAGCAGAAATGAAGCATATGGGAGATCTTCTCTTACTCTGATGTTTTCAGTTAGGTGTAGCTTCTCTAGCCGAGGCTAAATATGTGAGTTTACCAGGCTTGCTGCAACAGGCTCTCTTTGAGTTTTGCGAGGAACAACTGGCAGAACTTGCCTAAAATCTCCCCCAAATACTACAACCTTTCCACCAAATCGTTGTTCTGCGTCACAAAGGTCACGAAGCAAAAGCTTAACTGATTCAATGTTTTCTTTTTTGGACATTGAGGCTTCATCCCAAATAATAAGAGTTGTTTCTTTGATTAAAGCAGCTAAGCTGCCTTGTTTGGGAACGTCACAGGAAAGAGATGTTTCTGAATCCAGGGGAATTTTAAACCTTGAGTGCGCAGTTCTTCCAGAAGGGATGTTTAATGCAGCAATGCCTGATGTTGATGTTTGCAGAACAATCTTCCCTGCCATGCGAACTTCTGCATATAAGGCATTGTATAAAAATGTCTTGCCAGTTCCTCCAGGACCATCAACAAAGAAACAGCCAGGCTTTCCTGATTGGACCTAAGAAATAATTCTGTCAAATGCAATTTGCTGAGCTGAGTTCAGTTTGCCTCTACAGTCAATACACTCTTGAGGAATAGGCGCATCGAAGGCATCAACGATGTCTTTAGTTCTGTTAAGCTCATCTGGCAGCTCTTCATGTAAGTGGTCAAGCTGGAAATAAGCTAATGATTTTCCCATAGACTCTCAATGGCGTTCAATTGACTATATAGTCAGCAACTTAACACGGAATTTGTTCCCAGGATCAGCATGCCTGTAATCATCAGATAGGTCATTGTAGAATCGTTGCCAAAGTCTATTAGGGTCACTGGGGGTGCAGAATACACAAGCAGCTGCAAATAAGCGACGTAAGGCTGCTGGAAAGTGAATTTTTGCTGCTTCAGCCAAGCTTGCATGAACAACATTATCTTCCTCACATAAGCCTCTTTTAATAGTTGCTTCTTGAAAAGTGGCGCAATGTAATCCATTAACAGTTAAAAGGTCAATGAATGATTTAGGACTGCGTACATTAACCAACAATAATTGTAAGAAAAATCGCTCTCCTTCTGCTAGTGTAACACTTGCCAGTCGACCAACCACAAGCTTCTTATTTCGCCTTTGAAACCATCTTTTCTTACTGGCATCCCATCTGTTGAGCTCCATAAATTCGCTATAAAGGTATCCTGTACCTTGAGGAGAGGATGCATTTACCTTAAAAAATTCTATCAACTGAGTTTTGGATCTACGCTCATTTAGTATAGCAGAATCTAACTGTTCATGAGCACGTAACTGAACTGTTTGCATGTTTTCCAGGTGCACTGCCCATTGTTGCACAGGGGGGTGCATCTCAAAGATATCAAAGGAAAAAATTCTCCAAGCTGCCTCACATGGTGAGGCCCATCGACCAGACTGAAACCTCCCTATTTCATCTTCAAAAATTTTTTTTTTACCAACCACATTGAAAGAAACCCTATCATGGCCTTTGTAAACATACTTGTATAGATACTTCACAGCCTTAATAGATGAGCACACTTCTACATTCAAATGGCAATCAAATAACATCGAAAGGTATGGATTGTATGGAATGACCCAGTGGTTATCAAGGCTTGCACCCCGTATTCGGACACTTTCTCCCGTATCCCTTCTTTTGTACATGGGATATCCATCATCGTGGTTTGTTGTTTCTTGTAAAAAAATTTTGGACAGCCATATTTACAAGACAGTGGACAATTGTGCTTTATAATCATACATGCACAATCAGGATTAAGTTCTCCACATGCCCCATGCATCATATGCCGGACCACAATTTTCCGAAGTTCTGGGGAGCTGTGGGGTGGAAATTCTGCAGAGACAAAGCGATCAAAATCTGAAGGATTTTAGATTTTGCAACTTGGTTTTAAGATAATAAGGAAGTGTGCATGAGGCAGGCCCCTTTTTTGGAATTCAACCACATATATCATAGTAGCAACTATTCCAAAGATATGCTTCTTCATTATTTGTTTTTTTAAGCAAATCAACTTTGCCCAGAAAAAAGAACATCAAGATCTGGTCGGTTCTGAGCTGCTTCCCCAGGAGCCAGTTCTGCTTTTATCTCTGGCCAGTTAGCGTTGCAAGTCATTGTGACGAACAGATCTGGCTTATCGAAGCGCTGGACCAAAGCCATTGCATTTAAGTAGCGACTCTTCATGTCTCGTGGACCATCAATAAAAGTCGGTGGTAATATAACTCGCCAACCAACATTCATGGGATTTGTTTCGCCACTCTCAATTGAGTCTAAGATCCCCTGGTACAAATCAGCTTTGATTGCATGTTGATTGTGCCGGAAAAAGTATAGGCGAGTATTTTCAATCTTCACATACATATCAACTATGTATTGCTGAAGACACCGGTCTGCCCGGAGAAGCATGTTGTTTGGACGGGATTGCAGCTTGTAAGCATAATATTCACGAGGCGAAACATGCTTAGATGAAGTACCACCTGCATCTACTAAGCCTGAAATCAGGGTGGTTGCAATGTCTGTCAGATAAGGCATACAATGACAGGCAAAGAGGTATGATGAAAACAAGCAAGTTCGTTACTGAGTTTAAAAGCTTACGGGTTGCTTCCTATTCAACCACATCTTCCTCTTTATGTATTGCAGAGGCCATAGCAGAGTTTGCTTGCTCCTGAGATGCACTGTTGTTTTTATTCATACCTTGACTCCAACCACAATCACCATAAGGAAATAAGAGTGGGTATTGCAGAGGATCATAGCATCCGTAATGATGGTATATACGATGAGGATCGTTTAACCTTCCTCTTACAACAATGTATGGGCTGTTGGACTGACTTGACGATGTATCGTCAGGCCACATTACAGCCACTTCATCTGTTGTAGGAGCATAATAGGTACGTTGGTATACAACAGTGTTTTTGTTGATTAGAATTTGTGTGTCTTCTTCAATGTCAACTTCTCTCAAAGATCTGAAAAAGCGAGCGTATGGATTATGCTCAATTACCTCCATAAGTATGTTTATAATATGCTGCCTAATCTGTTTAAAGCAGTCTGTCCTAGCAGTTGCTTCAAATTGGCCATCATAAAAATAGAGTTGCAAATATTTAGGGCCCTCATCACCAGGGATTAAATCAGGCAAGTTATGGTAAATCTGGCCATGCAATTTAAAGACATAAATTCCTTTTTCTGTATCTGCATCATACTTGCCACCCAATGAGCTAAATGCAAATAAGTTATTATATAAGCGGATATATTGTCTAAAGTGCAATGCATCATCTTCATCAGATGTTAAAAGTCTATATAATGCAGAAGGATAATCATTAGTAGCCATATAATGCAGGAGGATAATCATTAGTAGCCATGTTAAAATTCAATTAATCCATTTCCACAACAGAAATGAAGTGATTCGTGCTGAAATTTTTTTGCATTACAGTGCTCACAATACTGAGGTGCTTTAAGCTTAAAAGGAGCAGCAGGTAATTTTAGACCAACCATAGCAGCTGGGGGTTCTGCTATCCATGGAGCAAAAGCCACATCAATTTATTGGTTTGTTACAATGCAAAACAAAAGGCTAAGAAGATATGGACAGGAAAGCTTACTTGTCTTCTTAGCAGCAGGTTGCTTCACTACTTGCTTTTGAGAAAGAACAATAGTTGTTTCTGTGATATGAAAATGTCACAAACAAGTTCTAAGAAATCAGGCATTTAAAAACTAACTGAAAAGGTAATTTATACAGTTTTGTTGTTAAGATAGCATTGATTAGTGGTCACTGCTTATATAAAGTATTTATGTGCCAACCTTTTGTCTCATGGACAATGAGCATTAAATGTTTTCTGTGTCAAAGCCATGCTTGTTTTAAAAAATGCTATACTGAAAAAGTTTCTTTGCAATGTTAATACCTAATATGGATTTCAGTATAAAAGGGAAGAGGGCACTGTGAATTGTATTTTGTTACCACATGCTAAGAGTAATATTGTACATTAGCCTAGTTTTCTCTGGATGAGTTAGTTGTAGTGTGCTTTACAATTATCTAAACTTGTTTTTTTTCTTTTTTCTTTTTTTGTAGGAAAAGCTAACAAATTGATATGAAAGGAGATGGGGATAAATTTCCAGCAATGCAAAACCATGATATTGAAGCTAGGCTTCGAGTGCTAGAGTTAAGGGAAGCTAATTTACAGGGAAAATTATCTGATGCCATGTCTATTCATTCTGATGTAGGAAAGAGGATTACAAAGCTAAAGAGGAAATTAGATGAAATATCAAATGAGATTTTAGAAATCAGGAATTTTGGTAAAGGAAAAAGAGTGCGAAAGAATGTTGCAAGCGAAGCTGGTGAATTTGCATCTGTTGTGCAGATAAGAAAGAAAAAAATGCTGAACAGAAACTGTGATGAAGATGCCGCTATTGTTGTTAATGATGAGGATGCTGGAATAGCTCAGGAAGATGTGAAAAAAGACATTGTCGAAGCCGATGAAGTGAAAAGTAATGTAGTAATTCGTCACTTGTGGTGGTGATAATACACAGAAGAAGAGTTTTATGGGGATGTTCATGTTAATGCCTTGACTATGAAATATGGCTATAATGATCCTGATGTTGCTAGGGAATTGTGTGATCTGAATTTTAGCTTCTAATTGTTATGTTGTAAGCCATTTTAGATTTTGCTACTTTATAATGTATGAATAAGTTCTATGTTAGATCTTGATGATGTTGGGTTATAGGGTTGTTAGGAAAAAATCGTTCAATCTGTTGTAATAGCAGAAATGCAAATCTGAACTGGTTATTATTCAGTCTATATGATATGTTATTCTAAACTATACCATGCACACTTACTGGTTTTCTTAGTTTGTGATTTCTTCAAATTTGGGTTTCTTGTTCTGCCTTGTTCACTGGTTTCACCTATTTCCATATATGCACAACAACCAGAAAATGTAAGAGAAGTATTGTTCTTAACCATTAAATAGAAATAAACATGTGGTCTGGTAACAAAGGGAAGTGGAAAGACCTTATAAGAACAGGTGGTTCAGACATAGAAGCAATTGCTCGCTTGCGCTTGCTATTTCTTGGGTTATTAGTAGTCTTCTGATACAGCATGCACTGGTCTAAAAGTGTCCTTCCAATATCCTCGTTGTCAGCCTGTGCACTATTCAATTCAGCTGCATCAACAGGCAAGATATGGGGGCCAGTAATCAAAATACCATGTTATTTAAGTGCAGCACTAAAGCAATGCAGAATTCAAGGTTGTGCTCTATAGTCAGGACTGTACATTTAGCATGCCCTATAAGTATTAGCCTAAGATCTTTATAGTTTCACAGCCATAGTACTTATCCAAGAGACATATAATCGTGCTTACTATTACTTCTACTCAGCAATCCGGTAGACAATTGATCACCAGCATCCTGTCTACTGATAACTCCTGGCTGATTGTTTACAGGATCCTACTGTTCATTTCTAGCTAAGTCTGTCTCATTAGGTTCTCTGTGTGATGAAAGTGAATAGGGAAATGAAACAAACGGGAAAAAAAGTGTGAGCAAACATTGTGAGTAAATTAGCAGGGTCCATTTGCAACCAGAACAACATACAAGGACCTTATTGAAAAGGTGTCTCAGACAAAGCTTGTAAGCCTTGTAAACGCTTGCTAGTCCTAGTTTTTGGAGGCCCCTTCTTAGCAACTAAGCAGCGATCTGAAATACAATTTAAGATATTCAGA